CCAGCCTCCCCCCCACGAGCAGCACCGGCCTGCAGCCGCCTGCGCGGACTGCCGAAGCCCATAGCTCCTCCTCACAGCTGCAGAGTGCAGACGGCTCAACTTGCTGGCAACAGATCCCTGCAGCAACAGACCATACTCTGGTGTGTCGATCATCTTTTTTGCCACGAAAGCTCAGCGCATCTCTCCCGTCATCTTCATCTCCCGAAACTCGAAATGCTGACCTGACCTCAACGAGGAAAGCTGGCGCTGCTTATCCGGATGACCACTTGAAGGAAGCGTTGCGCATGTGCTCTTGTGCTTTGCACAGGGAGCCAGAGGGGATTGCTGGAGACTGGATCTGGGGATCCCTTCAATCTTTCGGCGCATCTCCTGCTTCCTTTGGCTTCTCGTCAGCAGTACCTTCTGCTAGCTCTTCTGCTCCTGTCTCTTCCCCCGCTGTCTCTTCTGCTGCTGTCTCTTCCCTATCAGCGTCCTCCGCGGTGCTTCCAGTTGTCTGCTCGGCCTCACCTGCCTTTCGCAGCTTTGAACCTATAGCATGCGTGGTTTTCAAGGCCGGAGTCACCATCACGATCTTACCCACTGACTTGATCACGAGCTCCTGCTCTAGGGTACCAATTTTCACTCTTTCGCCCTTCTTGACAACAAGGGCACCAGTCACCAGAACTTCCTTGTCGCCCTTGGCAACATCTTTCAAGAGAACAGCCTTCTGATCCGCAGCCTCTGCAGCGCTTTCAGAAGCCGCTTCTCGAAGCTCTCGAACCCTGATGAGAGCGTCTCCAGATTTGCAAGCATCAGGAAGTCCTTCGCTGATGGTAATTGCAAAGCCGAGGCTCTCTACGCTGACTGTTTCCTTTCCAAGGCTGACTTGCTCACCTGGCTGAAGTCCCTGAGTGCTGGTGACATACAACTGGGAATCGCCTTCCTTGCCACGTTTCATCAGCCGCTTGGATGCAGCAGTTTGAAGCCTCTGCTTGACCCGCTTGGAAGCGGCTGCCCAATAATACACACAGAATCCAATGCAGCCAAACCCAAAGAGCAGCAGCATTGTCCCGACAATAGCATCGGATGCAGATCTCTCTTCCGCTGTCGGCACGTGAGCTGTGGCGCTCGAACGGGAAGGCTTTCCTTCTTCTGCCTCACAGGGCTTATGGCTTAGATGTGCTACCGGAACCAATGCGCAATCAGACCTAGGGCAGTGCCGCCTCCTTCTCCTCCTCCTCGTGAATTTTGTCAAAGATGCTCTGCACTGTCTTCACATCATTGGCGGTGATGTCCTCAACGCTTTACAAGGCAACACTGAGCAAGCCAAGCAGGCGTGCAACCCTCAAATCTATTCGCGGCCAACAAAGCAAAACTTTGACAGGATCTGCGCCCGTCATCCATGAGACTGTACTCTGCCGAAACGGACCTGTCCTACCTACACGTTGGATGGGCATGGAGGCATGCTTTTGAATTCGCGCGGGCTGGATCCCGCAAGCGCCCCATGTGTAAGCAACCCAAGGAAAGAAGACTTTGACTCAGTGACAGCAAGGCTCGGGATTGAGCAGGTCAGCCTTTGCCTCTTCCGGGGTCTGCTCCGCCTCAAAGCAAAGCGCAGGAGCCGGGGGTTGTGCTAGCAACTGAGCAAGATTCAACATCCACAAATTCAACCGCGGTTCGGCTGCATCGAAGGCTTGCTTGGCCTGGGCTTACAGGAATTTCGCGACCAATAAAAATGCTTTTACGAAAAACTGAACGTCGGGTGGATGCATTCAAGCGTCAGACTTTGGTCCAGCGTTCGAGCTGTCCTTCCACGCAGCTGTTCAGATGCAGAGGTCTCAGCTTGGTTCGCAGCTCACCCCTCAAAAGGCATTCGGTCCTTTTCCTTTTCGAACTTCCCAAAGCTCGGAAGTTCAAAGCTGCCCTTTTCTATGAGATCATTCGCAGCGTGAAGATCAGACCAGCTGGCAGCTGCAAGAGTCACGACCACCGAGCCAGGGCGAGCATCTTTGCATGCTACGGGCTTCAGCTTTGCGGAGCATTCCTTTAGGAATTGCTCGACGTTGTCTCCAATAATGGCTTTGAACTCGCCGACAAAACGCACCGTCTCCACCACCTCTCTTCTGGTGTTGAACTTTACAGTCACAGCACGGAAGCGGATTCACATGATGGAAGGCAAGAGGCTGGTTCATTTGAGGCTTGGCTGTGAAAGTTCGGAAAGTTGCCTGGCAGCGAGAATCCAGATTTCCAACCCTCTCACTACCACAAAAACGTGCGGCTGTACCTCCAAAGGAGGACGGGGGCAAGGAGAAATCCGGTGCACCTGCCGCAACAATCAGGCAGTGTACTGGCAAGAAGGAAGAAAACCTCCATCAAGTGTTCATGACACAGCACTTTGCAAAACTGGATTCTCCAACAATGTTCACATTGAGCAGCGCATCCCAAACGAGCATCTAAACAAGGAGCCCCAAATCTCATTTCAAAACTCATGCGCCTGGGCCATTTGCCTCGGAAGCTTGTAGCAGGACATGCAACGCGGAAGCTCGAGAGTCAGCCAAGGAGCTGCGTTGGGGCGCTGGATCAGGTGTGGCCTCTGGCTGGTCAATTAGAGAGATGAGACTTTTTGGGGTTCTATTGGCATTGGACCACATGAAAAGCTGGGAAGCTGACTGGATAAGGTGGCTCGTGTCTCCGCCAAAAATAGCATCTGCCAGTGGCTTACCTTACAATGCAGGCGGTCACCACGATGGTGCTTGCCCGAATCGACAACGCGCGGACAAGAAGCCTGATTTCAACGTTGAGAGCGCATGGCCCATGATGGAGACAGTGGCATTGATGGCGTATTTTGCCGAAGCAGGATCCCTTTGCAACCCGCAGGTGCAGAAGAGCCGGGAAGACGTGGAAGATACAAAATTTGAAATGCGGAGAATGCGGCAGCAGACAGCTGAATGCGGCAGGCGTCTGAGTCGCCACCTCGAGCATCCGCTTCGTGGCCTTCTCTGGAATCTCTCCCGTGTCCATGCCTCAGCCAGACACAATTTGCATTGCTCGGAGCAAGCATGTCACTCCCGAAAACCAAGGCACCAAAGATAGCATCTGCTATCCTAAGTCCACTTCAAGGCAAGACCTCATGGTTCCCGTGGTAGGAGGGGGCTTACATGCAAAGTCAAGCCGCGGCTTGCCACTCGAGAGCTTGCCAACCACACCGGCCATCACTTGCTCGTCTCTCACCATCTCATCATAGAAGGTTCGCCTGAGGTATTTGATCTAAGTTGCAGGCTATTGAGAAGCCGACAGATGCAAGAACGCAGCGGAAACTTTGCAAAGTCGCAGCTGCTGTCGCTGCCGGTTCAGCGCCTTTGCTGCCTCAGTAGGGACAGCACGAATCAATTGACAACAATGATGGATTTGACCAGTCGGGTGTTGAACAAGTGTTCCTCATTTCTCAAGCACTCTTACGATGGAGCACATGCGGCAGAACAGCTCAATCTGTCGGGGGCGCAGAAACCGCTTGACTGGGACACTAGACAGACCGGGAAGCTCGGTTCTCATGATAAAGTATTCTGAGTTGCGATTTTCTTTTGATAACTTGTAATTTTTGCCGTGTTTAGGAAATTTGCTTAGTTGTCACCTGTTTTTTGTTACTTACTCGTGACTCGACTTTTTCGTGCCGTTTCCCAATGGGGACACCAAAACCCCTTGCTGACCTGTAATTTTTTCGCACCAAAACTGCAAACACCGTGAACTACAGCACTTTGGGTCCTGTAAGGGCTGCAAGCCTTGCGAATTACTGCATTCGGAAGGGATTCGATCCTTCATTTCAAATGCTACAGCCTGCAACTGTTGCAGCATGGTGAAGGCTGGAGGCTTCAGATGCAAATGCTGCGACTGAATGCCAAAACAAGAACCCTTAGATGGGCACTAACCACCAGCTGAAGTTGATGATCAAAACAAGCAGTAAGCGCAAAATATGCGTGTGCCTGCAGACATCACACCTGCAGCATTTCGGGCCCTGTAGAAGCTGGAAGTGTTGCACATTACAGCATTTAGAAGGGATTGGGTTTTAAGGTTCGATGAATGAATTCACATGCTACAGCTTGCAGCTTTTGCGGCATTGCGCAGGCCTCACATGCACACGCTGTGACTTAGAAACCAAAGCAACGACCATTAGATGGGCACAAATTGAAAATTGAATCTATTTTTCATCAAAACCAGTAGTAGGCATAACATATGTCTGTGCCTGTAGATACCACATACTGCAGCACTTCGGGCCGCGTAGAAGCTGCAAACGTTGTAAATTACAGCATTTGGAAGGGCTTGGGTCAAGTGCTACATCTTGCACAAGCTTTGGCTGCATTGTGCAGGCTCAATTTTTTCCGGTTTTGGAATTAGGGTTTGGGTCTAGCGTTTAGAGGTTTAGGGTCTTTAGGGGGTAGGGCGTTTACTGTTTGAGAGTTTGAGGGTTTTGGGTTTAAGGAGTTTAGAGTTTTAGGGTTTAGGGTTTCGGGCTTCTGGGGTTCGGGGTTTCGAGGTTTTCAGGATTCAAGGTTTTTGGCGTTTAGGGTTTTTGTGGTTTAGCGTTTTTAATGTTTTTAAGGCTGAGGGCTTCAAAGGTTTAAGGCTTTTGGGGTTCCTAGGCTTTGGGGCTTCTAGGGTTTAGGGGCTTCAGCGTTTGGGGTTGGTGGGGTTTCCAGGGTTAAGGGCTTTACAGATTTGTTTTGATGGTTTCTACGGTTTACGCTTCTGAGGGTTTAGGCTCTTTAGGTTTTAGGGTGTTTAGGGTTTAGGCTCTTTAGGCTTTAGGGTGTTTAGGGTTTAGGGTTTTAGGATTTAGGGCTTAGGGCTTCTAGGGTAAAAAGGGTCTAGGGTTTTTAAGGTTTAGGGTGTCTATTATTCTGATGGCTGGATGGATGGATGGATGGATGGATGGATGGAGTCGACCAGCAGGGATATGCGGCCTCAGGATACCGTCCCTCTCGTCATTGCAGGGGAGCCTCCGAAACTGTCATCAGCAACCTTCCGGCTCAGCCACGAACTCCCCAGTACCCGCGCAGACGCCAAAGCGCACAGGCAAGACGGTGGTGGGTCCTTGAACATGGCCAAAACCTGAGTGCCAGTAGTTCGCCCACCAATCCTCCATGCCGTCCCTGCACACTACCGACAAGGACCCAGGATGAGTCAGAATGAGTGCACCAAACATTTTGGGCTGCAAGGAGGCGCCCGCATGGCAACACGGTTTAGGGCTTGGGCTTTTTTAGGATTTTGCGGGGTTAGGATTCGGTTTTCAGGGTTTTTAGGGTTTGGGGTTTCTAGGGTTTAGGGCTCTTTCTGGGGCTTAGGGTTAAAGGGGGGGTTTTAGGCCTAGGCCTTCTAGGGTTTAGAGTTGTGTTGTTTAGGTTTTTAGGGCTTGGGGATTTTAGGGTCTAGGTTTTGAGGGTTTAGGGTGGGTGTTTAGGGTTTAGGGTCTTTAGGGTTAGGGTTTTCAGGGTTTGGGTTTTTGTTTTCAGAATTTAGAGTTCTTAGGGTTTTGGGTTCTTAGGGTTCAAGGTTTCCAGTGTTTTTAGGGTTTAGGGCTTCTAGGGTTTAGGGTCTTTCTGGTTTTTTTTTTTGAGGGAAGGTAGCGGACTTTTCGATCTAGCCTGCTGGTCCATTAGGACCCTTCCAAACCCTTGCTCTCAAAAGCACTCACTGTAAGAGCTCGCGTTGATTACGAAAGGCCTGCAAAACAGCCAAACCCAGGTCAGCAGCCACCGTGATGCTCGGTACGAGCCCCTGTGCCCACCACTGGTAAACGACAACTCCTAGAGGGCTTTGCACAAACCCCAGGGGGTCTTGAAAGAGCACACCTTCCCCAGGCCCTACTGACTGTACTGGGGTCCCAACACGTGCATGCTCAGAAGTCCCCGTAGAAGCCGCAATCGAACTCAGGAGGTCTCCACTGTCAGGAGGTCGAAGACGTTTCGCCCGCTGCCAGTCCAGTTGGTCCGCCATCGAAACCTGCTCCCACTTACGTCGGCTCAGGCGGACAGTGGGACCCGGAGCTCGGCTCAGACCTGCCTTCAAGGTAGCTTTCCGAGCGCTGCTCGTCATACAGGGTCTCTTCCGCCTGGATTTTGTCATACTCGTCGGCCGCCTCACTTTGCCTGACACGTATCAGTTCCTGCTGCAAGCACTCTTCCTCGTCTCCCTCTTTCTGGTTTAGGGTTTAGGGCTCCTAGGGTGTAGGGTTTAAGTTTAGGCCTAGGGCTTCTAGGGTTTAGGGTTTTAGTGATTGGGATTTTTAGGATTAAGGAATTTTAGGGTTAGGGTTTTAGCGTTTAGGGTTGTTAGGGTTTGGAGTTTTTTGGGTTTGTGTTTTTATTGTTGTGTTTTCAGAGTTTTGGGTTTTTAGAGTTTTGGCCTTCGGGTTCGGGGTTTCCGGTGTTTTCGGGGTTTAGGGTTTCTAGGGTTTAGGGTCTTTCTGGTTGAAGGTTTGGAGCTTCTGAGGGTTTTGGGTTTAAAATTGTTGGGGTTTGAGGCCTAGGCCTCCTAGGATTGAGGGTCTTACTGTTTAGGGTTTTTAGGGTTTGGGGATTTTAGGGCTTAGGTTCCTAGAGTTTAGGGTTTTTTGGGTTTAGGGTTTATAGGGTTTTAGAGTTTCCAGGGTTTGGAGTTTCCAGGGTTTTGGATCTGTACGGTTTGGGTCGCTTAGCGTTTTTAGGGTTTCTGGTGTTTAGTGTTTTTAGGCTTTGTAGGGATGAGGGTTTTAAGGGTTTTTAGGGTTTAGGGTTAGGAGGGTTTCTAGGATTTAGGGTTTGGTCGTTTGTTGTATTGATTGCCACTATGGACCACCATCCCTGTTCGTGTTGGTACGTCTTCTGAGATGTGCCACATCATAAAACAAGCACAGTTACGTTGATAGTGACAAGGACACCCATCATCCTTGTCACTGTTCACACTTTTGGAAATGGCGACATTGAAATCGACAACAGTTACGAGAATGGCGCATCCAAGGCCCTAAGAAGAACAGTTACGAGGATCGGGAGGGCTGGGCACCCACCGTCCTTGTGACTGTTCACACTTTTGAGAGGCCTGGGCTGGAGGTCGGCAGACCACACCACGGAAGGGGAGAGCGGGTGGGGGTTGGGGGGCCAGAGTACTGCACCTGCGAAAACCACTCAGCAAAACAAACATAAAAGTTACAACTAACCTAGCCATCTTCTCATGATGCGATCAGCCGAGAGGCTTCCTCTGGCCCAACATTCAGAATGTCCCCAGCTTTCACGTTCTGGTCCAGCGGTGGCAAGTTAAACCTCATATGAGGGCACGCTGCTTTTCGATTGTTGCGCGACATGACTTTGCAGGCCGTGAATGTTGCAATCCAGACTGCACCCAAGAGACTGATGCGGCTGAACTGCCTGCATGCTCACTAAAGCCCGAATTGTTGTAAGGCTGAGCAAGGTTTTACACACACTACCAGCAGTTGCTTTACCAAACTAGAAGGAAAGCTTCTGACAAAGCCACTGGCCTTTGCATCAGTGCAGTCGCAACCAGCTGTCATGAAGAACCAGGCAGTTCCCGGCAACGCATCACTTGCCCTGTAGCACCCGGGGCCGTAAACATCTTCGAAAGAGCAGCTGCAATCTGCACCACATCTGTTTTCCCCGTACGTGATGGTGTTGTCAAAGTTGCACTGGAGCTTCACCCTAGCACCAGCTAGTGGACCAGCGAAGGTAAGTGTAGGGCAAGACCCATAGTTGTTTGAGTAATAGAGTTCCTCAAACGTTGCTCCAACCTTGGATTCCCGGAGCGTTCCACACAAGGATTCTGGCTGCTACAAGGCATGTACGTCAAGCATAGCGTTGAATGCAGGAAGTTCCGAATTGCGCAATTTTTAAAGTGCCTAGCGACAACGTTCTCCGCACCACTGCCAGAGCAACAATCATCAGGCACCTTTTCCTTGACAGACCCAACGAGGCAAGAGTGCAGGATCGGCGTGGCACCTGAGCCGCTGTCGCTGAAAGCGAGGTTTTAGGTGACATGTTCCACGCTTGCAGCACTTTTCTAAGCCTGCTGGGCTCCGCACTCAGATTGTAAACCACCCATGCTCCTCGAGGAGCACGTGTGCTGTCTGGACATGCTCTTCTTGTCTGCACCGTTGAAGTCGTGAGGGGAGGGGCAGTTGTTGCATATGCCTCAACACGCACCATCTGAGCACACAGATTACTGTGCGTTTTTTGGGGCAGCACGAATCTAGAGATGTCTGACGGAGATAAACCACAGCTTCGGAAATCAGGCAAGACCTACCTATGACTCAGGCGGCTGCGGGCTGAGGGGCATCAGTCACAATGACCTCCGTCTCAAACGAAGCATTTCTGGGAACTGTGGTTGTGGAGGATGTGGTTGGTGGGAGCGTTGCAGTCGCCTTGGCCTTCTCCGCTTCCACATGTGCCATGCCAGCGGCGATCGCGGCATCCTGGGCAGCTTTCTTTGCCTCCTCGACCTCCCGAATCAGCACTTGCAGCTCGGGGTTCTCTGTGGTCGACGGAGCAGCCTCTGCTGGCTGTGTAGTTTCTGTCGCAAGGGCGATAACCAACTCTACAGCTTTTCCTGCCACCTCAGCTTGTTCGTCTTCCGTCATTCCAGCATGCTGTGCCGCTGCCATGGCGGTTGACCCTGCACATTCCGCCAAGGCATCAGATTGTGTGCCGGTTGCTCTGCAAGTCGTTTTGACTGCCTGCGCTAGGCACTCGGTTATGTGATCTTCCGGAAGCCCGATGGACCGCAAAGCCGTAAAGGCAACATTGCTTGAGGCTACGGCAGTCGAAGTGGTTTGCTCCGATTTCAGAGCATACAAGGCTGCACGCCCAGCTTCGACACAGCCCTGCTGCAGGGAGCCACCGGCAGTTTGTACTGCGAGGGCCGCGGCCTTTGCAGAGGCCAGCGCCACCTGTTCTGAAGTTTTGTTTGCAGCATGCGCAGCACGCGCTGCTGCATCCGCTGCAGCCATGGCTTGCTGATGAGGCTTCAGGCCTTTGGCTTGGGCAGCTGCTGCAGCAGATGCCCCTGCAGCCAAGGCCTCATCTGCATCTGCTTGGAAGGGTTGCTCAGGCATCGGCTTAGCCTGGGTTGTAGTGGTCGTGCTTGTTGCTCTTGTGGTGGCACTCGTAGTTGTGGACCTCTTTGTCGTGGACTGCCGTGTGGCGGCAGTTGTAGAACGGGTGGATGCTAGCGTCGTCGCCTTTGGCGTAGTACTGCTGGAAGTGGTTGTGGGAGTGGTGGTGGCTTCTGCAGTTGTACTTGCAGTGGTGGAGGGCTCGGAAGTCCTTGTTGTTGCCGGCGCCTGAGTGGTTCGAGGTGCCTGAGATGTTGGCTGGAACAACTCAACAACACACAGAGACATGTCCGATACCAGAACCAGTGCCAGCACCAGATAAGGGACAGCTGTTGTGCTTGGAGCGGTCGAGGATGCAGCTCTGACACCCACATTGTCCAGCATAGGACATGCTGAGCCTTGTTGCTCAACAACTCTTCAAGATACCTTTGTCACTTAGAGAGAACTGCCAGCAAGCAGCCCCCGGCATAGAAGTAGAGACGGGTACCCGAGCTCTCCGGCTTAAAGCTGTACGGACCAGCGAGGGTCCAGGAGCCTCGGCTCGCCAAGCTCTTTGGCACAGAGGTCATGCTCCGCTCCTTCAAAGACTGCGATCTACTGCGGTACTGTCCCCGGCTGTCCCCTAGTTGCCAAGCAACCTTCAACGGGCTGGTACGCAGATCCACTGAGAACGATGGCTTCCTGACAGAGCTTAGCTTGCATGCCATGAAAAAATACTTCCTAGTGCCGGCAGAGCACGTGAAGCACTGTGTTCCCCGGTGGAGACTGCACCTCTGGCGCAGCGCATGTCAAATCACACACGAGTGACACCATCCAATGCGCCTCGACATGCAGGGTGCTGGATTGGTTGGCTGCTTTCTGATCGAGAAATGCGTCCTAAGCAGATCCAACAGGCGGTTGACAGCATCTCGAAGCCAGCACTACAACTAGGGAGGGTACAATTGCAGAGAACTGCAGCTCGTACACGACGCCTTCTGTTGTGTTCATGTCCTGTAGACCAATAGAATTTGCTTCCTGCGATTGCATAGAACCGCGACTGAGAGTTTGAATTGCTGTGCCGTGCTGTAGTTGTATCCATGGCCACTGAATGGCTGCTGCAAGACTGCTGTTGACAAAGTTGCCTGTCAACAGCTATATCGAAACATGCTCTGCAGTGAGATGGCTTTCAGGAATAAGTTGCATCCCCGGTCCTGGTACACGGCCCCCCTGTCAACACAAGAGGTTACGTCACTCGCAAACTTGCAAACTTGAAAATTGCAAGAAGGCATAACGCGAGGACGACTGAAAGCTTGCTTTTGGCATTACCTTGCCCTTGCCGCGAAAGTTGCTCTACGCAAACACACCTGCCCACGCCGCACTGGTCAACAATCAAGGGTACACTCGTCAAGCGGATCTCTTTGGGAACCCGTGGAATTCGAAGAATTTCAGACGAAAAATCTTTGGACAGCAATGAGTGTTCAAGTGAGGTTACCATCAGCCGAAATCTGAAAACTGCGTCGGTGGCTTTCCAATCTCCCTTTGCTCAGGCACGTTGTGGAGAACGGCCCCCCCCTCACCGCCCTCCTGTTCCTCTGGTGTTGAATGTGATTGGCAGGGTGAAGTAGCTCCCCCTGCTGCCTCTACTGTTTATGCTGTTCTCCAGCAAAGGCTTCAAAAGCTGCACGCCCACCACCCGGTTGGCACCAGTTAGATGCGGTCACTATGCCATGGCCCTGCATCAATGACAGTTGAGTATGAGGATGACGACTACAAGGCTCGACAAACGATGACAACTACAACTTAGACTGATGGCATCCGAACTCACATACTCGTTCACCCCTACAGTAGCAGACATCTCCACGAAACGGAGAGTGACTCCGCCAAAATATTGCTTACAGCTGAGCAAGCAGCATCTTGGCCTGTACGACAACAAACGTTTGAACTCTGCTGTTGCCTGAACTTTTGAGAGCGTTGACTAGCTCCATTGTCCCGGCTTCATACGAACCGTCATCTGCCCAAAGCCGCCTTGTGTTCTTGAAGCAATCGGTCAGCGACTTGATGCTCCAAACATTCCCGCTCGTATTGGAACCAGCATGAGAAGCACCGCTCCTTACGACATGACTTCGAAGCGCTCAACGTCCAACACTCTACGCAGGTTAGATCCAAGAAAGCAGAGCTCCTTGCACATGGAGGAGCTAAGTTGCTTGCTCATTCACCATTGCAAAGAACGTCTACACGCTTGCTGATGCATGAAATACCGCTCAGCGGCCAGAAACCACGAGTGCTGCAGGAGGCTCCTCCATGCACGCAACTATGCCCTCCCTTGAAGACAGCTGTGCTGACTGAAGCTGGCCCAACCTGTGACATCCGCCTTACAAAGGACAGTTTGATCTCATCTTCACTCCAACAGCAACTGCAGAGCTCAGAGTCTAAGCCAGCAGCATGTCCATGGTACTCACTCGCTGGGCAGTCTTTGCTCCAGCCTCACCGGGAAAGCACTGAAAACTCACACGTCACAAATCATCAAAAAGCCTCTTACAAGCCAACAGGCCTGAGCCTTCTTCAAATTCTGGATTCCTTAAATGCGGGTGACAGCAAATCCGGTTGAAGCTAGTATGCTGGCTTGGGCATCTTTGACCGAAGGCTTGCACTCCTCGCAATGTGCCAGAAATGCCAACGGCAAGCGAGGCACATGACGATGTTTGGCCCTCGGGATCCGGCAGCCGCATGGTCTATTGCGTGAAGCAGCTCCTCCAGCTCAGGGGTTCTGCAAAGTCTCTAGGCATGGAAAGACAAGTGGCCTCCAGCAAATCATCCTGAGTTTTTTCATTGCGCTTGCTTATGCATGTAACATGTGTCGATTCCTGCTTTCAAAACGAATGCTGCAAAGAACCTCATTGGCAGGTGAACCTCCTGCTAGAAGAAAGTTGCATGTACCCAAAGTCTTTGGGCAGATCAGGAAATGCGGCCAAGTCTCTGCAAAGCCGATTGACTTCTTGGCCTGATATCGACGAACTGCCTCAGTGGTCCGGCACTGCACATCACATACCATGCGAATTCAACAAAAAAAGGGTTTCTGCCTCTTGGGCTTCCAGCAGGTCCTGCTCACCGAGTCTCTAAGCACGTGAGCGAGGATGCCAAATGCAGGAATCAGTCCTGCATGTCTTCGTCGCTGTGGTCCCTAGCATCCAGCGAAGTCAGCGCTGCATCTACCTGCAACACTGATGATCGCAAAGGCCTCCCGGAGCCAAATAAACCACTTTTGGAACCCTAAAATGGTAGCGCCTGCTTCTCTCGATGACCATCGCGACTCTCCCTTCGCATCACTGGTCTATCGGTGCCATCTTGCGACCTTCTAGGCACGTCATCCAAACTATCGCCAGATCTTGGCCAGCTTGCGTCGAAGACAGTGCCGTCTGCCTTAGCAACTCTCTGTCAGCATTCTCTCGGGGCTTCTGGCAAATGATGTCTTACCAAATGCCAAAACTCGTCACGTCATCTTCAACACCGCAGTAGCGGAATACTGCATTGATGTACATGCAGAGTCGCGGAGTTACTACAGAGAGCTGCCCTTCCATTCTCCAGTGCTCCTCTACAAGCGAAGACACTCGCAGGTCAGGGGTCTCACTCCCTTGCTACTGCTTCTTGAGTAGCTGATAACTCCGAAGGGGTATGGAGATATTGTTGGCATTGCTTTCCGGCCGTGGCTTTTCGCGGATTTCCTTGAAGGTCGACTGTTTGCCATGATTGCTGCATAAACCGTCTCCCTGGAACCTTCCTCTTGTTGCCGTTCTTTGTTGGAAACGGCTTCTTATTGTCCTCTTTACTGAAACCCTCGATTAAGCTTCCAAAGTTCTGAAGCTGGAGTATGCAACATATGCCACAGGGTGTTCCGACATTATCAGTGAAAGCAAGCCATGGTTTCCCAAGAAAACGAAGAAGCGCGCATAGAATTGAATGCGTTTGGAGCATTGAGTGTTGCCTGGCATGGAAGATCCTGTTTAGCGTGCTATTCCAAAATACACGTGCTTTTGGTATGACGCCTACTCAAGCGACCCGCGTTCATGCTGATTTTCAGCATTCTCGATATTCAGCACGTGTTCCAAGAGCATACGGACACCAGAGCATCCATGCCCATACCATCATAACGTTCGTGTTCCGAGTGCATATGATCGCTAGAGCTTTCATGCCCAAACCATAATAACGTT